TCTCTTTTGATTCTGCGTTCCCTCAATTCTAGAACTAGCATGCGGCGTTTCATCCTATCGGCAGGAGAGTAATCCGGCTGAAAAAACACATCCTTTGTAGAGTACTTCAATCGGAAACGCCTGGACAGTAGAAGTTTTGCTTCCCTGTCGCTGGCTAGGACGATTTTAAGTGGTCGCGGCCTAGTCTGCTGAGTTGCGTTTAGGCGACTTCCAAGGCGAAATATCTTTTGATAGAATATTTCCTCAGATGGTTGCAACAGCTCGTTTAGGAGCTCTTGAAATAAGCATCTAGCAGAAATCACCTATGCGATTCTGGGTAACTCGCGTTCGAGCCGAATCCCTCGCAGCTTCAAGGTGCGGCTACGAAAAATACAGGACACCTAAGCCTGTTTTGGATGATGCATGAGAAAAGTCGGTGGGCAAGAAAGTGTTTAATTTCTTAAATATTTGAGGTGGACTCCCAGTTCTACGTTAATGGTTAGGGTTTTGAGTAGCAACGGTTTATATATGTTTTTCCTTGGAAAGGACGTCAAAATTGGATATTCTAGGCTTCCACTTGCTCTTTAGATTGCTTCCAATAGGCATCGGTCATTCGGAATAGTATTCTAGTCACAAGGGCCGTGGATCCTGATACAAGCTATAATTATCCATTATCCCACAGCAAAACCCTCTCACCGAGCACTGTGCTCTGTTGCCACTAAACGCACATCTGACGTTATTTGATCCAGAAATAAGGCAACACGAGAGCAATGGTTTCGGTTGCAAACATCATTGCGTACAGGTCTGTTTTCAGTGTCGCGAAATAATCTGGTGTATGTTAGGTCGTAATGCTAGGCAGTTTTCCGGATGAGTCAATTTTCAATGTATCGCTTGACTGCTTTAAAACTCCTTGGCTTTTGTAAGTTATGGCATCTACTGTGTGTTCTGTTTATTTCTTCTATGTCCATTTTATAGATAAATCGATTGATGAATTCATTTTCTTGCTGGCCTATCTGGGCCTACCACTGGGACCCGAGGACCTTCTCACCGTGTTATCTGTGGGATGTGTTCAGCCTGATGACAAGGAAAAGCTCTACTCGATGAAATGCCAGAGCGGTGATTCCTCTAGTGCCCCCTGTTTGGCACGAATCATAATCGCGTGGTGTCATGCAGGTCGTTCCTCAGCCAGTCGCGACCTCTACGCCAAACTGCGCCAGCATTCCTTGCCCCAGTTGGCAAATCATCCAGTCCTTTTACCCGAGCCGCAGATCCGTGTGCCGCATCTGATTCGCCTGCCTCGGGAGTACGTTAGACTATCGGTCCTAGCAACTGAATGGCAGTACGTTCCGTTCGTCTTTATTTTCCGCTATCTGTTCATGTACCACTTTTAAATCGCAAGCGGTTATATTACCCTTTACCAATCTCTGGACAATTCACTCTTAACTCTGCCGTCGTTAGTTTTGACCGTTACAGTATATTCTGCCCGGAAATGTTTGCCGACGAACATAGAATTTTAGTAATGCGTTTTATAACAAACGCATATCTGCACGCCGCAGTTGTTAACGTGAATTTTGTTTTCCTTGAATATTGCGTACACTGCCCTTCGGTACCATTAGAGCTCGAGAATTTGATCAAGCATGCCGATTACAACCCTGTGGTTTTCCAGAAACCAGGCCAATTTATGACTTTTCGCTCATCGGTTGCGTCGAGTGACCTGGCTGGCGAATGGTTTCCTGCAGTTCCTGGGTTTGATGTGGGGCATTTCTACCAGCCTCTGTGACACATCATGCCGTACGCCGCATGTCCGTCGCCTTAGAATGCTTTTAGGCTTCTTGTCCCTATCTATGCCATCCAAAGACGGAACCTTTAAATCCTGCACAATACTCCCCTTTTACATTAGTACACGGAGCAAAGTTTTAAAAGCATAGATGTGTTCGTTTTTCTTCTATCAACCCTCCGCTTAATTCGACAGGCGTGAGCATGCTGGGAGTGCCAGC